AATTGTTTGCTTTTTTGTCTTTCCACAAGAATATAAAGCTGGCAATCACGTCCGTACGTACGTCACGGAATGTACACCAATCGTACCCCAAAATACATTCAATTATGTAGAAACTGGAGAACTTACCTTTGCAAACACGTCTCTTATGCCGCCTTCTTGAAGTTCTTGAAATCAAATAAGGTTACTAGTTCTTCTAGTAACTAGTGAATAAGACCACTGAGCCAAACAGAATACATGTATAAACAGTACTATAATAAATTGCACGCAATGGAGAAATCACATGCTGTAGCGTTACTCACAGAATTAATCTACTGTAAAATATTTTATTTCAGCTGGAATTATCATTCGCTGAAAAGACTTTTTCTAGCTGTTTTTTGTATTGAATTTATTTTCATTGATTTTTGACAAGTTTTACTGTAAAATATAGGAAAAAGGGAATGTTCGCTGGATTTTATTTTAACATTCCTTCAGCGAAAATAGCAAAAAAATGTTGCAAGCAAAAATAAAGTATTTTACAGTAATTAATTTATTCTGAGCATGCGCAGACGTTCTGTCAATGTTGTCGGGAGAGGGAATTTTTGATAAAAATCGTGAAAAAGACCCACTTGGGATTATCTGGAAAAAAAAATTACGTGCATACTCGGAAGACACTTGTTCATCAACCTGCCAAGTTTCACTGATACCTGCTGTAGAATTTCTGAGAAAATGTTGGAGACGGAAAACGGACAAAACCTGAATTATAAAGTCCCCTTTTCAGGCTGCGCCTGAACGGGGACTAACAACTAGACGGACCATGCAAATTACATTTCCCATGATACACTGGTGCAATCCCTGGGATTGCGGAGCCACGCTTTAAGACAATTCTTTGAATATAGATTATTCAAAGGGTTATAGTTGGTATTAGTCAAAGAATTATAGTTGCTGAGCTAGGTGGTATTAGTCTAGGGGTTATAATTGCTCAGCTAGGTGGTATTAGTCTAGGGGTTATAATTGCTGAGCTAGGTGGTATTAGTCAAAGGATTATATTTGCTGAGCTAGGTGGTATTAGTCTAGGGGTTATAGTTGAGATAGGTGGTCAGAATACAACATAGGCATTGCAGTTGCGTGTGACAGACTAGACATCACTACCAGCATAGCAACAGTATATAAATTGAGACACAAGGTTAAAGGTCACATATGCAAAATAAAAATGATGAGCACATTATCTAGTTTTAAAAAACTAGCAGCCTGTCGCTGATATAGCTCCGCTGTTTGTGATGCATGCTCTGAAAGCAATGAAGCAATTTAAACTTAATGCTAGCTGCTTTAATATCGCAAGACACCAACTTTCTTGATTTTGTTGCAGAGAATATTTCACTAAAAGTAGAGAATTGAAGATATCTTTACGAAATGGACAAATCTAATAGAGGTCTACCCAAGCTGCATGTGTACAAGTATCAAAGAATTTGGACTACTGGTTTTGAAGGACAAGTCAAAAATATGTTTTTTGATGAAAAATGACGAAAATATTTGCTAAAAATAGAGAATTGAAGATGTTGACAGGAAGTGAACAAATCTGATATAGGTCCACCCAGGGTACACATACACCAATAATCATGGCATTCAGATTAACAATTTTGGAGAAGGCAAAAATATCATTTTTTTTTACCGAAAATTACAAAATAGTCATCATGAAGGGAAAAAAATCTGACAGAGGTCCACCCAAGGTACCTACAAATGAAATTATAAAGCAATCAGGTTAGAGGTTTTCAACAAGAAGTTGAAAATAACGTTTTTGACCAAAAATTACAAAAATATTCATCAAAATTAGAGAATTGAAGATATTGTCACAAAATCAACAAATCTGACAGAGGTCCACCTGATATACCTACATATACAATATCAAAGAAATTGGACAAGCAGTTTTCAAGGAGAGGACGAAAATATTTATCAAAATTAGAGAATTGAAGATATTGTCACAAAATCAACAAATCTGACAGAGGTCCACCTGATACACCTACATATACAATATCAAAGCAATTGGACTTGCGGTTTTTAACAAGAAGTCGAAAATATCACTTTTTACCAAAAATGACAAAAATATTCACCAAAATTAGAGAATTGAAGATATCATCATGAAATAAACAAATCTAAAAGAGGTCTACCCAAGGTACATATACACCAAGTATCAAAGCATTCAGACTTGTAGTTTCCAAGAAGAAGTCGAAAAAGTAAAACATTGACACGGACAATCACTCATATGATAAGCTCTGCTTGACAAAGTTGACAGCGGAGCTAAAAAAACTGTTGAAAACCATTCTTGCCATGGCAACCATAGCGAACCTCACTAGGGTCATAATACCACAGAATTGTGCAGATTAATTTGATTTATTAACCATTTGTCATCTGCAACCCCCCCAAAAAACAAGCCAGTGAAAATACACAGTCCCTGTTATGTTATGTTTATGAACCAAACACCAGACATTTCAAAGAAAAGGGTGGATTATGAGTGAAAGAAAACATTTGCATGAAATCTAAATAGGTCAGTTTAAGTTGGTTATGGTTAGTATGAAAGGAGATGACATAAGAGTGGCGTTACAGTTTTCACTGGTGGTATGATGGTAGATACAAGACATTTATTCTGACAGACATTCATATGACAGATATGATAACAAAATTTGCCAGTTCATTTGTGCATTTTTCGTGTATTTGTGTTGAATGTGATTGGTCTAAACATGTCAAAGATATGGGTGTAGAACAGAATTCATTAAAAACAAAATGGCCACCAGACCAAATGTTCATTAAATTCTATTTCAAAATGGTTGTGCCAAGCAGCCTCAGCTTGTTGGGACATAAAATTGCTATAATCAAAAGAAACACCACTGGTAATGTTCCAAAGAACACCATATTTGGGCATCTTCAATAGTTGTGCAAATGAACCCCAAATTAACTGTATAACAGTATATCAATCATTAAACTATGACTTGTTTTACTCGTCTGTTGCTATGTAAGTACTACTAGATAGAGCAATGTTGGGGGATGAGAAGATTGCTGCTTTTCTGATCAGTTTATAATGAGCACCACCATAAGACGAAGGATAACACACGCAAATACATTATCCCTAGCCAGACAGGTGTTAACAAGCACAAATCCTAAGCCTAAGAAGGTCAGTGCACTGAGACATTACTTACTCTATTTGTGCCAACTATTTCAGCTAATTCATGCGATAGCACCATCTCAGCACTGTAACCAGATTTACCTACAGGAGATAGACATTCAGAGGATAGAAGTCATAGGTTAAAGGTCAAATACGAACAATCTTGCTTTATTAACGCTGTATGTATGTGGAGATCTCAACATGGCAATACAATTAGGATAAGCAAAATGTTCACATGTTTTAAATTTTGAAAACTTTACTTGTTTATAAAACATGCGAGCATTCAATGGTTCTACAGTGGTTGTGGATTTCTCCTGTTGCAGCTTGTACGACAAAATCATTCTATTTCATTAACTACTAAATCTTTGATGGCAAAAAACAAGCATAACGCCAAAATCCAAGTAATTTTGTAAGTAGGACTATTAAAGTAGTGAGGAATTGTTAGCAACAGAAATATTTGGAGTACCCTAGTAGCACATGCGCTTACGCAATAGACCACTTTTCGTTCATGCATGAAATCGAACATAAAAACAGGAAAAACAAAGATTGAAGCGGCATTGAAGCGGCGTCAAAACATTGCAAGGGATTTAACAAGCCTGACTCCATATTGTGCTGTACACATTAGATGATGGTTAATTTTGATAAAATAAGGGTATCTCAACGCAATATTCCACTATGAAAAAACAAACAAGTAACCTCATGGTTGAAAGAGCTCCACAGTGTTTTGTTGTCAAGGAAAGAACAAAGATATTAGACTTACATTTGTTATGTCATTAATGCAAGTGCTGCATTATCAGAAGTACACTCAATAGAAATGCATGTAAGCCCAAAATTGTTGTTAAAATTATTTAATTACTAAAAATTTACAGTATAATCCAGAAATCTAGCTAGTTGCTATTTTGCACGAAATGTCTTAAGCGAGTTTTGAGACAAGTGAACCCCTGAAGCATGTTAAAAATATCCAGTGACTTGTACCTTTCCTTTCCGTTTTGGGTTTCCTTTTCGGTGTGGGCTTTGGAGGTTCTGTTCGCTTGGCATTCCTATTTCTAGTTACTCTGCCACCATTTTCTTCTTCCTCTTGCAGCTTTCTTGCCATCTCCTCGTCATTCTGAGCAATATGCAATATGGTTTTGAAGAAACAAATTTTTTTTGTCGTACAAGTCAAGGTATTCATGGACACACTCAAATCATTTATGCAAATATATAACCTTTTCACTACCAGACTTTCTCACCCAAATTTTTCTGCACTTTTTTTTTATATTCTTCAATATTTCTGGAAATGAACTCTAATTTTGAAGCCAACAAACAAAATTTGAGTTAATTCTCAGTTTTTACTCAAAAAATTTGGTTATTTTTTACCAATCTTCTGAAGGAAAGTGCAGACTATAAACGGGACTATTTTGTGAAATTGTGATGAAAAGAGGGAACTGGTGGTTGAAAAGGTTAATGAGTATAGATTGTGAAATAAACATCACGCATGCATTTCACATTATCTGTACAGAACTGGAATTGCTATGTAGGAAAGTTCAGTACAAAAATGATTTTATTTCTATCAATGATTACCCTTCTGCAATGGGGTAAAATAATACAAATGATGGATAACTGGTTTTAGGGGCACATTGGGGCCTGACCGATACACAACTTATGGCTTGTGAGTGCTTTCCTTATTACCAATAAGGTTAGTTTAACATTGCATATGGTGTTTGTGTCGTGATGACAACAAAGAACATAGTTTATTTTAATGATACAGAAGAAGAAAGTTTTGCAGCAAACTTTATTTTATTTTTTAAATACTTTTGCTATAAATGATTTCTGACTATGAAATAAAAAAATACAATTTAATATGATTTAATAATCATTTTTTGATAAATGAAGTTGGTGCATGAATTCAAAAAGTTCTTAGAGTAAGTTAATACTGGCGACCGTCTAAAAGGACGCCCAGAATCACATTAGATGATGTACTACGTTACGTGCGTTTGCAATAATACAATGATATGAACAATTTGAATAACGATGGTATCCAACACAAACAAATATTGGGGGGGGGGGGTCACACAGAGAATGTTGGATTTAAAACAATAATGTTCTCTACCTGTGTTGATTCAACGTCACTGTCGCAATCACTTACGATTTCTGCACTTTTTTTCTTCTCAGTCTGTAAAAAGATGCATTGAACATAGCGTAACTATTACAACCTTGCCCATTGAGAATCTATATTCAATTAGGAATGAGTGGATGTATACTAATAATGCAAAATCTTTTCTTTGCATGACATATGCATGAGTATAAAAGTCCTGCAACAATACAATAATATATCTAAACATTCTATACGAAAAATACTGGCTACAATTTAGATGGAAACATTTCTAACCAAAAAGAAACAAAACCATTTGAAGTCATCATAACTGCATAATTGTCCCTCAAATAATACTACATGTACTGTATTAAGCTCAATGTCCCTTATAGAATAATAGTATGAATTGTATACAAGCAGCCTCTCGGCTGAGATAGCTCCGCTGTTAGCAATGCACATTTCAATTAAAGAACAGAAGATATCATTAGAAAACGAACAATAAGTATAGTATCAAAGCAATGGAACTTGCTGTTTTCAACAAGAATTCAAAAATATCATTTTTCACCATAAATGATTGTGGTTTTTAACAAGAAGAAAATATCACTTTTTACCAAAAATGAT